AGTGAGAGAGTGAATTAGTGAATGAGAGTGAGGGAGGGAGTGAGTGAGAGAGTGAGTGAGTGAATGAGAGTGGGTGAATCAGAGTGAGAGAGTGAGTCAGGGAATGAGAGTGAGTGAGTGAGAGTGAGTGAATGAGAGTGAGAGAGTGAGTGAGTGAGTGAGAGTGAGTGAATGAGAGTGAGAGAGTGAGTGAGTGAATGAGAGTGAGAGTGTGAGTGAGTGAGTGAGTGGATGAGAGTGAGTGAGTGAGTGAGTGAGTGAGTGAGTGAATGAGAGTCAGTGAATGAAAGTGAGAGAGAGTGAGTGAATGAGAGTGAGTGAATGAGAGTGAGTGAATGAGAGTGAGTGAGTGAGTGAATGAGAGTGAGTGAATGAGTGAGTTAGTGAGAGAGTGAGTGAGTGAGTGAGTGAGTGAATGAGAGTGAGTGAGAGAGTGAGTGAGTGAATGAGAGTGAGAGAGTGAGTTAGTGAGAGAGTGAATGAGAGTGAGTGAATGAGAGTGAGGGAGTGAGTCAAGATTGACTCCTAAAAAAAAAAAAAAAAAGGTTTAAATTACTGTTAAAAAAAAAAGGCTTATATCCTAGATGTCAGAGAGCTAAAATAGACTGGTATTGCTATTTTAAATCACAATCATATGGTTTACTATGCCGAAAATGACAGATTCAAGAGGAATTATATTACACTCAACAAATTGGACATTTCAATATCTATCTTGAAGCACAATGCTGTCTGTGATGGGATAATGTCTATCTGTATACAAGAAAATCCAGTCATTACAACTATTATTCAAATTGATGCAATAACCACTACTGAAGAAATTGAAAACTTTACTAACTTCTAATTTGACTAACCTTACTAAGTCTGAGGTTGACCAAACACACAATCAAGATGCACTGTTCACTACTGGTATTTGGAGCAGAAGGTGAAATGACAATAGTCGAAAAAAACGAGGTCTTGGTGACAGAAACGAAGTTGGAGATCGCATGACAGAGTTCTGCAAGAACAAAGACTTCTTCACTGTAAGTACCTTTTGTCAACAACTCCAATAGTGACTAGCCATGCGGACTTCACCAGGAGACACATAAATCAAACCTACGGCCAGCTCGGGGAAGAGACGATTCAGCAGCAGCTCAGTATCAGCAGCTAAAACCAGGTCAGAGGCCTACTGAGGCTTAGACCATCAATCGCTCATACGTAAGTTTAGGGTGAAGTTGGGGAAAAAATAAAACAAGTTCAACAAGGTGAAAATATAACTTTGAGTACATCCCACCTCAATTCTGAGACATCTCAAGTGCAGATCTGACACCGCACACGAAGGACAGGTGACCTGATGAGCTGCAGAATAACATCAAGAGCGTCACTCATGAACAAAGCAAAAGGTCACTACGACGACATGAAGGTTAGAAAAGATGCAGAAGAGACTCTGAAACGTGATCTTAATCACAGAATAGCTAAGGCAAATAGAAGAAATGATGAAGTGAAAGAGCTGAAAAGAAATGTGAAAGGGCAGCTCGAGAAGACAAAGTAAAATATGATAATTAAATGTGCAAACACCTGGAGTTAGAAAACCAAAAAGGAAAAACAGCCTCAGTATATGTTAAACTGAAAGAACTCAAAAAAATTCAAACCTCAAAGCGTAATACTGAAAGAGTCTATGGGCAAAATATTGAACAATGCAGGAAGCTGCTTCAAAGGAAGATTAAGAACACACACTGTCACTATACCAAAAAGACCCAGTCCACATCCAACCATTTCAAGAGCTACCATATAATCAAGAACCAAAGGTACTGAAGGAAGAAGTTGAAGATGCACAGAAAGCATTAGCCCAAAACAAGGCAGAAACTGATGAAATACCAATTAAAATGTTTCAACAAGCTAATGAAGCACTGGAAGCACTCACTTCTCTATGCCAAGAAATGTGGACGACAGTAACCTGGCCAACTGACTGGAGAAGAGCCATTTATTTGTGCCCATTCCAAAGAAAGGTGATCCGACAGGATGCACAAATCAGAAAATTAGCATTAATTTCAAGTGCAAGTAAAATTTTGCTAACATCATCCAACAATAGTTGCAGCAATAACACTGACAGAGAGCTAGCCACAAGAGGTTCTGGCCTGATTAAGACAACAATGGAACACGAGATATCATTACTAATGTTTGATGGATCTTGGCTGAAAGCAGATGACATCAGCAAGGTGTTTTTTTATTGACTATGCAAAGGCATTTGACTGTGTGGATCACAACAAACTGTGGTTAGCCTTAACAATGGGAATACCAGAACTTCATTGTGCTAATGTGAAACCTGCCTGTACATAGATCAAGAGGCAGCTGTGATACCGGAACAGGGAATATTGCGTGATTAAAAATCAGGAAAGGTGTGCAGCAGGGTTGTAGCCTCAGCAGACTGATTCAATCTGTATGCTGAGCAAATAATCTGAGAGACTGGACACCACATGAAGACTGCACTATCACGATTAGAAGCCGCCTTATTGATGTCCTACACTATGCAGATGACGCAACTTTGCTTGCTTAAAGTGAGGAAGACTTGAGGCAAGCACTAATAAAGATCGAGGACTGCAGACTTCAGTATGGATAACAACTTAATGTAACTCAAACAAACAAAATGAACCTGAGCGGATGCCAACTCCGTGACCCTATAGGTCAGGGTAGAACTGCCCTTGTGGGTTTGAGACTGTAACTTTTCACTGGAGTAAAATGTCTTGTCTTTCTCCAGTGGTGCCGCTGGTGGTTTTGAACTGCATACTCAAGCATCCCCAAAATCCTCTCAGTTGAAACACAGGTAAAATCATGATAAACAGAACAAGGGGCTGGAGTTGTTGAGGATTTCGTTTCCCTTGAATCCAGTCAATGCTCATGATGCAGCAGTCAGATTAAATGATGTACTGTATTGGGTAAGTCTACTGCATAAGATCTCTTTAAAGTGTTGAAAAGAAAGGATACTACTCTGAGAATTAAAGGTGTACATGACCCAAGTCATGGTATTTTCAATAGTTTCATAAGCATGTCAAAGTTGGATATTAAGACTAATGAAGAATCAATGCACGTGAATGATGGTGCTGGCAAAGCACGTTGGAAAGACCAAACAAACAAACAAACAAATCTGTCTTGGAAGAAGTACAGCAGCTCCTGAGAAGCAAGGATGGGGGGAATTCACTCATCTCCTGTTTTTCGGACGTTATCAGAAGAGACAGTAAGTAGTACTTGGTAAGTAGAGGGGTAGTGCAAAAGAGGCAGATCCTCGACAAAGATGGAAAGGCACAGAGACTGCCTCCTTGAGCTGGAATAGTTGTGAAGATGGTGCAGGAATGAGCAGTGTTTCACGCTACTGTACACAGGGTTGCCAGAACCTAAGGTCACATGACTCGGAACCGACTCGACCGCACCTAACAAATGATGGCCGCGAAAGCCCAAAATCCATTTGCAGAGTCCCACCCACATGGATGAATCCTCCACTGAATTCCCTCAGACCAGACCAAGGAGGGGACATGGAAACCTTGCCATCACCCAGAATGCACTGTAAAACAGACTACAAAGAATACAGTTAGGTTCGAATTTGCCCTCCTAGTAATGAGGTCTCCCCTAGCTAACCCCTTTGTTCCCTGCCTATTCTTACCCTTAGCGTCGTTACTAGATATTCCTCTCGTTTGCTTTTCCTATCTTCCCTCCATCCCAACTGGAATGAAAGCAGGGAGTTTGATGATTTACTCACAGCTATAGTTTTATTCATCTTAGTCCCAGCTCAACAACTGGCACATGGAAAGTGCTCAGCATAAATTTGTGGAAAGACTGAAAGTGATCAAAATGACTGGCTCTTGACAATAGGATACACAAAAGTGCAGAACACTTTCCATACAGGCTCCCTTCTGTGCGTCTGGGATCAATCCTCTTGTCAGTGTGTGTGTAGATGGGCATTTCCAAAGGCAAGCAGACTGGCTGTATGTTAGAAGGCTACTGCGCTCAAAAGCATAGATTTCACCCTTTAACACAAAAGTATCTGCAGGTCCTGCTGATGAACTGTTTATTTAGCCACAAGGGCTTTCTCTTTTTGACCAAATTCAAACCCTCCACATACTGAATGGTTCACTTAGCCTTTTGATCTAAAAGTGGTTAGTATTCTTTACAGTTTGGATGTTGTAAAAATTAAGATAATTTTATGTAAGATATGTATGTAAAATTGCATACACCTGTCTGCTCTGAGTGACCTGGTTTTTTTTTTTGGTTTTTTTTTGAGTGACCTGTTTTTTAAGGAGCCCTAGTACAGTGGTTAAAGAGCTCACCTAAGGTTTTGGGATTTTTTAATGCATTATCTACTGAGGACTTTAAATGTCTAATGGATTTCACTGCTTTGCATGTATTGCCCTAATTGGTGCTCAGATTTCCCACGTTTAGACAATCAAGTTCCTGAATCTATTTGACATGGCCCAGCTCCTGTCGTGGGTTATGAATTGGGCTGCTAACAAGTTTGGTGGTTCAAACTCACAATCCACTTTGAAGGAGAAAAATGAGGCTTTCTGCTCCTGTAAGGAGGGCAATTCAGCAGGGACCAGGAAGAGAGGGGATCAACCACCAACTCTGAGGAAAAGGCAGCCCAAAGCTGAGGAAAGGCCCTGAAGCAAGTATGCTGTTTGTCACTTCAGAGGGAAGCATACCTTTCAATACTCCTGAGGTCAAAGGGCAGCACTTACCCAAAAACAAAGTTTATAAGGGTTAGGAAAGGATGAGGAACAGAATAAGTGACATTATGTTGTGGGGACTGCAATCAATGAGATGAAACAAACTGTGTATGAAATGTTGAATGGAAAATTGGTCTGCTCTATAAACCTCACCCCAAATCACAGTATAAAGCTATTTTGTTTTTTAAGAATAATAATAATTGGCCATCTAGCAAGTAAAATGGAATGAAATGTTTTCCTGCCCTTTCTAAATGAACTACAACACTGAAAAAACACAGCAAATGAGATCAAATGTCTTCCTTAAAATTCTACTTAATGAAAAAAAAAAAGAAGCTAGAATTAGACGACCAGCACTTGTAGTTCCCAATAAAGTACTCACCCTAAGTAATGCATACCAATAGCACAAGAGGGAGAGCTAGCCTTTTAATTAAAGACTTCCTCCTCTCAAATCTTGTCAAGGGATTAAAACTGAATCTGACCAAGTCTCCAGACAATTGTCAATTTGCAAGAAATGCAGAGGGGGACAAAGGATTGTGCTGAATTGCACCCTGATTAAGCAATCAGCAAAATCCAAATTAAAGCGGCTCAAGTCCTTGAACAGATAAACTGCAAGGAAAATAAGGACGGAATTCGTAGATTTAAGAGAAACTAAAAGGGAAAAAAAAAATATCAGAAAAGGGCACAACTATAGTGCTGAGAAATATTGATGTAGGCAATAAAACTATGTTAAGAACTTCAAGGAGATTATTACTAAAATTTAAAGTGAAGACTAATGGCAGGAGGGAAGAGGTTTTTAAGTAGCTGGCAAACGCTACTGACTTGGGTAATGGCTACAAGGTATTTCTCTTTTCATATCTTGCTGAAAATGTTGTTTGGTTTTCTGTATTTTATTTTACAGTATAGTTTTTTTAATATTTTACAATAAAAAAGACAAAAATGTCAGTTCTAGGTGATATGTGAAGTGTTTCTTATTAGACAATAAATTTTTCTTTCTGATAATTAAGAAACCCCTCATTGTCAATGAGTCGATGCTACCTCACAGCGACCCTATAAGGCAGGATAGAACTGCCACTGTAGGTCTCTGAGACTGTAACTCTATGCAAGTCTAAAGTCCCTCCTGCCCAGGAGAGGCAGTTAGGAGCCCAATGCGTAACCACCCTGCCTCCAGGGCTCCTTTCTGATGACAAAGGAGTCAGATAGCCTTATTAGGAAGGTCATATAGATTAGTATTACTTTTGCAATAATGATTTGTACCCACTCATGAAAAGTTGTTCCAGATATCCCAGCCTTCCTAGGAACGACAAGAGAACATTCTCTCCCAACCTAGAAGGAAAGACTGACCCAAATTATAAAGGTATTCATAGCTTGGAAGATTGTAGCCAACGATGTAATGGGTCTTCCATCCGCCAAAGAGAGGGAATCGAGGACGGATTTCCATCTCCACAGAGTCATCCAAAATAAGGAGATGGCTAGTAGAAACATTGCCAATCTCATCCCGGTAATAAACATCCTGGGCAGCAGCAGGGAGGATTGTCTGCAAGAGAAGTTGACAGACCGTTCTAAATAGTCTAGAAACCTAGTCTGAAGAAATGATCCCAAACACTCATCTGTACCATAGCATCATTTAATTTAAAAAGCATCCAAACTAAAAACAATCTAAAATTGCCTAACTTTCTCCCCCTAAAGCTTCAAAATGCCTATAAATCACATCTACTTCTCCAACAAGGCTGGCAAGTAGCCGAATTCTTATAAAGAAACTCAAATACTTTTGTGCATGCTGAAGACTTACAAAGACTGTAAAACATAATCTCAGGTTATTTTGAAGAAAGGGAATCTAAAGATGGAAGGAACTATAACAAATCACTTAGTGTTAAGGTTATGGGAAGCACATTCTGAAAACAGGCAAAGAAGGGATAAAATGTAATACTTTTTTTGTAGTGACCCCTTTTGTAATTACGTGGAAAATATAAAATTCCATTTCTATCCAATAAAATGAATTTTTAAAATTCCATTTCGAAGACAAAAGATACAAACTATACGATCAGTTAATGTTTCTTAAAGACAAGAATTATAAAAGATAATATACTGAAAGGCCAGCAATATACTATTGTTCGGACAACTGTACTGTGTAAATATCTCCCTCTCATCCTATTATTCAAAACCACTTTAAAACAAGTTGTCTACTCGTAAATGAGGATTTGTTTTCTTTTAAAAATGTTTTCTGAAAAAGAGATAAATAGAAATGCTTTCTTAATACTCAACTACATGGGTACCAGTCAATCCCAAACAGCCATCTATATTTACCTAGTTTCAAAAGCAAGAGAAAAAGCAAACATGAAGAAGTAATATTCCCTCACAATGACAAGCGTGTGCATCCTATACCTTAAAAGAGCGGATGGAGGCTATCCCACTATCTGGCTGTCTCTGGTAGTCATAGCGCGAAAAAGGCCCCTTGAGCACAGCACCCGTGTGCTTCAAGTCTACGTTTTCTTCCACAGCGATGTTGCCCCAGTGAGAGACCTCGATGACGCGGGTCATGCTGGTGACAGTCAGGAACGGGCTGTTGTTCTCGTAATGTACTTTAAAAGGATCCTGGAAAGGAAGGAAAACAAGTAGCTTCAAGTTTGGGCAACATTCTTTGAGTTTAAAACAACAGGAAACAATCTATGCTCAGCCACAGAAGAATATAGAATATAAAACATATAAAAAATTGCATATATTGACTATGAATTTCTTATGACATATTGAGATGTTCAAATTATTAGTTGGAAAAGGATATATGAAATCATTCTAAATTTATGTCCCGACATAATTTGTTTTTATTAAAAAAGAAAATTATACTCACTGATTTCATAGCCACTATCAAAGGAAGGGAAATAAAAGAGCCTGAGGTGAAATACATGAGAATTTCACAGGGAATGAGTAGAATAATAAATGGTTTGTTTTCTCCTTGCTACTTTTATTTTCTAAATTTTTACAATGAAAACCACTACCTTCTAAAAAATGTTAATGTTTCAAAATAAAATCTTAAATTGGAAATTAAATAGGGAAAAAAAACTGACTAGGAAATACATTAAATCTAATGAATATAAAACCTCTACTCAATCAGTTAAAAAATAAACTCAAAACTAAAGGTGATTCGTAGCATTGTTCAATTTTTCTACCCTTCATTTCTACCCTGAAAGTGACTTAAAAGACTTTTAAGTTAATACATACAAGGGAGCTCCTAAAAGTTTGGTAAAAAAAAACTCCATAATCATTATTTTTATCATTGTATTGGGGGCTCATACAGCTCTTATCACAATCCATACATAAATTCATTGTGTCAAGCACACTTATTGCCATCATCATTTTCAAAACATTTTCATTCTACTTGAGCCCTTGGTATCAGCTCATTTTTCCCCTCCGACCCCCACCCTTCCTCGCTCATGAACCCTTGGTTACTTATAAATTACTATTATTTATTCGTGATTTACACTGATTGATGTCTTCCTTCACCCATTTTTCTGTTGTCTGTCCTCCTGGGAGGGGATTATATATAGATCACTCCATAATAATTTAATCCCATTTTTCCACAAACATTTTGAAGCCCCATCATGTGTGAGAATAAATCAAAATGCATTGCTACTAAGATTCCAGTTCATGTCTGCAATCAGTGGGTGACTAGGAACAAGGTCTCTCAGTAATACACTTGTTTTAGTCTCCTCAGGGCACCTTCAAAACAAAAAAAGATTCCTTCTGTGCAATGGGGAAAACAAGATTTTGAGGTCAGGGCTAATGTCAAATTTTTAACAAAACTTAAGTGGCCATCTTCTCAGATCCCTAAAGCTCTGCAACAGGTCTATAGTAATGCTGCCCAACATCAAGTAACAGATTTTAGATGAAGTGTTGTAAGACAGTCAGAAAGACCTCAAAAATGGTCCATGAGAATGAAGACAGTCAACCTCAACGAGTAAAGAAACTATGGCTGAAGTCCAGCAACTGGGGACCAAAGACTACAGAACTGCCATGGATGCAATAACTACTGAAGTTGGTATCTCACAGAGCTTGGCACTTTGAATTTTAAGCAAACATTTTGGCTTCACCAAGCTTTTGGCTCAATGAGTGTCAAAAGCATTCCGTGGAGATCAGCTAACTAACGAATTCATCTTTCTTCCCATTAGTTTGTTAAACAAGATTGAAGCTAAAGAGGACAGTTTTATGGAATGAATCATAACCAGGAACCAGTCAGATTTGCCAATACAATCCAGAGAGCACAGTCGAATCATAACAACCCTTCTGAGGGGATCTGCTGGAGCAGTTCAATTCAGGCAGAGAAGTGGGCTCAGAAGGTGATGGCAATAGTTTTCTGCGTCCCTACACGGGTCATCTTGATAGATTTCCTCAGAAAACACAGGGCAATAGCAAGAGCTTATGAGAAGTTTTAAGAAAACTGAAAACTGCATTGGTGAGGAAAAGGCCAGGAAAGTTGCAACATGGCTTTTTTTCCATCACGGCTCACATTCTGCGAGTAACAGACTGTTCTGTGAGAATTTCACTGGGAAGCCGCATCCTATCCACTCTACCACCCTGATCTTGCCTGTTCAGATTTTTGTTCCCAAAGCTCAAAATAGTTAAAGAAACAGTGCGAGTCCCTCCAGGATGGATGCCCAACCTGCTGTCTGGGTCTGGTGTGAACTGAAGAATCTCTGGGGAAGTGAGAGATGGAAACAATGCCTTCCAAAGAATATAAACCTGGATCTAAGATTTGTCCCATTCTGATAATTATGTTTAATAAAGTTTCTAATATTTTTAGCAATACTTTTTGACTTGACCTGTATGTACAATTTCTGAGTGTTAAATAAAATTGTATCTCATTTAATCCTCAAAACAATAAAATGAAGTGCTATTTACCTTCACTTTACACACTAAAAAAAAAAACAAACACAAGACCTACCAGTTTTTATTAACTTGTTCAAGATCATAAACCTACTAAGGGACAATATTACTAGGTCTTTAAGTATTCTACTAGGTGGAAGTTCTAGCTCACATTCTGCCTTCCAGTGAGGAAAAAAGTGAGACCTAAAGCAATTCTCCAATTCCTTTGCCAATTTTACCACTGGTATTAGTATTAAAATATCTTTCTAGTCATTAAATAACTACAGATGTCAAAAGGTTCTACCTAGAACCCTACAGAAATGCGATCTAAAATAAAAGTACTGGAAAAACAACCTTATTCCCCAAAACCCACATAAAGAACTCAAGATAAGGTATATTTTGCTAACTCTTTTTTTTTTTTTTAACATTTTATTAGGGGCTCATACAACTTTTATCCCAATCCATACACACATCAATTGTGTAAAGCTCATTTGTACATCGTTTCTCAAAACATTTTCTCTCCATTTAAACCCCCGACATTAGGTTCTCATTTTTCCCCTCCCTCCCCGCTCCCCCCTCCCGCATGAGCCCTTGATAGTTTATAAATGGATATTTTGTCATATCTTGCCCTGTCCAACGTCTCCCTTCATCCACTTTTTGGTTGTCTGTCCCCCAGGGAGGAGGTCACACACAGTTCCATGTAATCGGTTCCCTCTTTCCTACCCATTCTCCCTTTATTTTGCTAACTCTTATAGCTCTTGTTATTTCATTCTTTGATTATGAAGTTCTATTTAATTTATAATAATAATTGATACCATTTAATGTTATACTGGCAATGGTATAAGGAAACTGGCAGTTTCATACCATAGTATAATGAATTGGTGAAATCTCTGGAAAAATTTGGCAACATACATCAAGGTTTTTTTTAATGTTCATGTACTTTAAGAAAATATATCCTAAGAATATGTAAAATGTTTCATGCAAAAAGATGCATACTGTAGTGTTAAACTTGAATTTTAAAAAACCCTAACTGCCCAATTATAGGACACTTGGCAAATAATCTATAGGTCATCCAATTAGTGGGATTTTATGCAGCAAATAACAAGTTACAGGGGCAATTCTACTCTGTCCTACACAGTCACTGAGTCAGAACTGACTTGATGGTGGTGAGTTAAAGATGACTAAGACTGAAAAATAAAAATCCAGGGGAAAACCAATGTTGGTAAGGATTTAGGGAAATTTTCATCTTTATCCATTGCTGGAAGAAATGTAAAATGGTACACATGTTGCGGAAAATGCTTTCCTCAAAAAACTAAAATTGGAACTACCATATGACCAGCAATTCCACTCCTAGATAAATACCAAAGACTTAAAAGCAGAGACCAAAACATGTATTTTTCACCAATGTTCACTGAAGCCCTATCCACAAGAGACAAAAGTGGAACTAACCTTAATGCCCATCAACGAATAAGCAAAACATAGTATATGCATACAATGGATTACTACTCAGCCAGTAAGAAAAATGAAGTCATGATATAGGCTATGAGTAGAACTTAAAAAAAGTCAATCACAAATAGGACAGATACTGTTATTACCTCACTTACATAAAAAGATCACAGTTTCTTTGTGGTGACAAAGGTTGGGAGAAAGGGAGAAGGGGGGCCTACTGCTTATGGAATACTGCATTTCAGTTTAAGGTGAGGGGAAAATTACATTGACTAAGAGTGAGGTTGCAAAGCTGATTTACGTAATTTTTATTAATAAGCTGTGCATTATAAAAAAGTTAACTGGCAAAAACTATGTAACATATATTTATATCAACACCCAGGAAAAATATACATGCTGAGACTTTATACAACCAAACACCTTATGGGATTTGGTTCAGTGCTTTAGAGGTTAAAGAGCATGATTTCACGGTACTCCTATTCTACTTCCTAGTTTGTCTCTGGGGGCTTACAAAGCTTTCAAGTGGCCACCAAAGGCACAGCTTTTGGTCTCTATTTGTATTTGTGTGGAGCAAGAGAGAAAGGAGAACCCAGACAGGAGACTATGGATTGTGTGGCTAATTACCTTTACAAATAACAGTCCCCTCATACAGGAAACCAGGTGGATAATACCCAGCTACCATTGTTAAATGTTTGATCAAAGACCCCACAAGAAGAGCCCGGATGCAAAGGTAAGAAAAATGCAGAATAGAATTTCTGATTCTCATGTAATGCAGACTTTCTTGAGTCCTGAGGGCTAAAATATCTTCTGAAAC